CTAGTGTTGCTTGATCTTATTACCCTGTCTACTCCAGTTTAGGCGTAGCACCCCTGTGTAGCTCAGCCTCCCCTGCTGCGTCAAGCATAGGACTGCCTAGTTTGCCTGGCCTAGTTTCTGCACCGGCGCCGTTCCCGGCCTCCGCTACTGCCTCACTGTCCTTCACTCTCGACTCCGGTGCTTCTGCCTGTTTCTTCCGCGACCGCTCCACGCTCATGCCGCTTGCTGCACCTGCTATTGTTGCTCTCGCTGACCCCTCTGCGGGTCCTGTCGTCGCTCGCAGCTCCACTTCCCTTCCCTGTCCAGCCATTCCCTCGGGCTCTCTTACATGCCTCCACGTTCTCTCAGTTCTCCAGGAACCTGGTTGGTGTCGGCTGGCTTCAGGACCTCGGCGTCACCACTACGTTCCTTGGGCACAAGCGGTTCGCTGTCTGTACCAAGGTTGTCTCAGGTTCCCCCCTTGCGACGTTCCCCCGGGACCCGGTGTTCGGTCTGTTTACCCTCGACACCGCTTCCCCCCCGGTTGGTGTGTCCTCCCAGGTCGCTGCAGCTTGCTCGTGTCGGTCTCTCACTCACCCGTCCCTTTTGTGGCACCACCGCTAAGGTCGCCCTGCTCTCCCGCGTCTGCGTCACATGTCTCAGCACGGTCTTGTCTTGGGCCACCCCGAGTCGCTCCGCGCCCTTCCCCTTTCGACTGCGCCACCGTGCACGCCTTGCGTCGAGGGCCGGCTCCGCCGTGCCCCTCACTCCTCCTCGCTTCGCCCTGCTACTGCTCCCCTTCAGACCCTGCACCTGAACGTTTGGGGCCCAGCCCCCGTCCCCGGACCGAGCGGTGAGCGCTACTTTCTTGTGCTCATCGACGACTACACGCGCTACACCATGGTGTTTCCCCTGGAGCGGAAGGCCGATGTGCCTGACGCTCTTCTCCCGTGGGTTGTGGCTGCACGTCTTCACCGCGGTCTCCCCGTGTTGTGTCTCCACTCTGACCGTGGCGGCGAGTTCGCCTCTGGTCGGCTTGGACAGTTCTGTCGTGCGGAGGGCATCACCCAGCCGTACACCTTGCCGGACTCGCCACAGCAGAATGGGGTTGCTGAGCGCCGCACCAGCTTGGTCATGGAGGTTGCTCGCACCTCCATGATTCATGCCGATGCCCCCCATTTTCTGTGGCCGTTCGCTGTTCGCTACGCTGCTCACCAGCTTAACTTGTGGCCACGCTCACAGCGGCCGCAGGTTTCGCTGACCCTCCTTTGGACCGGGTCCCCCAGTGACGCGTCTACGTTCCACGTCTGGGGTTGCCTTGCTCACGTTCGTGCCTCTGGCACGGACAAGCTCACTGCCCGCACTGTCCCCTGTGTCTTCCTCGGTTTCCCCTTGGACTCGTTTGACTGGCTCTTCTACCACCCGCAGTCTCACCGCTTCCTACACTCTCGGACGTCACCTTTGACGAGTCTGTCTCCTTCTACATTTGCTTCCCTCACTGAGGTCTCCCGGTTTTGCCCCCCCCTGTTCCTTGCTCCCTTTCCCCCGGTAGCCCCTCCTCCCCTCCTGCCTCGTCCTGCCCCTTCTGGTGTCTCTCACGTCACTCCCCTCCCGTCGGTTGTCCCCGTTGAGGAGTCTGCTGACTCTGGTGGTCCCCCCGGCCCATCCTTGACATGGCTTCCCCGGTGTCTCCACCACCACTGTTGTAGTCGCCGTCGCAGCCGCCGCCGCCGCCGCTGCCGCCGCCGCCGCCGTCGCCGCCGCTGCCGCTCTTGGCCTCTTGGGGTGCTGGCGTTGAGGAGGGTGTTCGTCCTGCAACTCCTGGCGTGGTCTGTCCCGGCGGGCCTGGGGGTGCCGCTGGTGCTGGAGGGGGTTCTCGCTCTGGGGGTGTTGGCTCTGGGGGTGCTCCCCTTGAGTGTTCTCCTGGTGGTCGACGTGCCCCTGCCGGTCCGAGGGTCGAGCACCAGCCGCCGCAGCAGCCGTCACCGCCAGTCTCCGCTCTTCGCCTGCTCGGCCTTCCCTCCCCTGACTGCTCACCGGTGTCTCCCCCACACCCTTCTCACCTTCTTGTCTACGTCCCTGTGTTCCTGCCGCCGGACTCCTCTCCGGCCCGTCTTTCTCCTCGTTCCCCTTTTGTGTCCCCTCCGCTGTCTCCTGACCCTACACCTCCGTCCCACGTTTGGTCTCGCTGTCCCTTACGTGCTCGTCCCGTCTCTCCTGTCCTGCGCTCCCACCCTATGTTGCTCCGTTCCCACTCATCTCCTACTCCCCTCCTCCCATCACCTCCTCCCTCGTCGCTTGTTGTTGCACCTCCCCCGCTGTCTGACTACCTCCGTGCCGCTCGTCCCCTTGTCCCTCAGGTTCTCGCCTCTCTTGTTACAGACCCGTCTATTCCTGTCTCGCGCCTTGACGCGCTTGTCGCTGCTGTCGCTGACTTTTCCTCTACCCGCCGCCTTGACTTCGCTACTGCTCGGATCTCGCACGCTGCCCGTCCTCCGTCAGTCGGGAGTGCACCTGCCCTTGGCAGTGACGTCCTAGAGGACGGGCAGCACGAGCTAGCTTTCCTTTCCGAGGCCGCTCCTCATCATTTTGCTCCATGCTCCTAGTCCCAGAGGGTGACCTAGACGCCCTCGACATCCCGACCCCTCGCACCTACGCTGAGGCCACCTCGGGATCTTGGGCCTCTCAGTGGATAGCTGCCATGGAGTAGGAGATGGCGTCTTGGAGGTCCACCGGCACTTACGTCGACGCAGTTACCCCGCCTGGGGTGAACGTAGTCGATGGTCGGTGGCTCTTCAAGGTGAAGCGCCCCCTTGGAGAGCCGCCTATCTTCAAGGCGCGCTACGTGGCTAGAGGCTTCAGCCAGCGCAAGGGGTTTGACTTCTTCCAGACCTTCGCCCCGACCCCGAAGATGACTACTCTTCGGGCGCTGCAACACATAGCAGGACAGCGCGACAACGAGCTTCACTCCCTCGACTTCTCTACTGCCTTTCCTCAGGGCAGCCTACACGAGCTGGTCTACCTGCGCCAACCACAGGGATTCACTGTCACCATCCCCCTTAGGACCTAGTGGCTTCTCAGGCGCCCAGTCTACAGCCTGCGCCAGGCTCCCTGCGAGTGGCACGACACGCTGCGTGCCACGCTAGCAGACCTGCAGTTCTTTCCGTCCTCTGCTGACCCTTCGCTTTTTGTGCGTTTCGGCCAGACTCCGTTCTACATCCTTGTCTATGTAGACGACCTGGTTTTCGCTACTGCTGACTGGGTCGCACTGGCCTCTGTGAAGGCCGAGCTGCTGAAGAGACACACCTGCACTGACCTTGGAGAGCTGCGTCGCTATCTTGGCCTGCAGATCTCCAGGGACAGAGCAGCACGCACCATCACTCTCACACCGTCACACTTGGTCCATCAGGTCCTTCAGAGGTTCGATCTTCAGTTCTCCTCCGCACAGCCCACACCTCTATCTGTAGACCATGGGCTTTCCGCTCCCGAACCTGAGGAGCCAGTAGAGCCCAGCGGCCCCTACGCAGAGCTGGTGGGTTGCCTCATGTACCTGATGACTTGCACTCGCCCAGATCTCGCATATCCTCTCAGCATCCTGGCTCGCTTTGTGGCCACTGGCAGACACCGACCACAGCACTGGTCGGCCGCTAAGAGGGTTTTGCGATATCTAGCAAGCACATCAGGCATGGGGTTAGTGCTTGGAGGACGCAGGCCAAAGGTCCTTACTGGGCACACAGACGCTTCTTGGGCAGACGACTCTGAGACTCTCAGGTCGTCTCAGGGCTACTGTTTTAGCCTTGGTTCAGGTGCTATCTCTTGGAGATCCACTCGCTCGTCCTCTGTTGCTCAGTCCAGCTGTGAGGCTGAGATCTACGCCGGTGCCATGGCGGCACAGGAGCTCCCCTGGCTGACCTTCTTGCGCACTGACTTAGGTGAGCGGCCTAGCTCTGCCCCGGTCCTGTACGCTGACAACAGGGCCATTATTCTCCTGTGCGAGGAGCCTCGACTAGAGGGCAGAGCGAAGCATATCCAGCTGCGGTACTTCCTCCTGCGCGAGCTACAGCAGCGTCGCCAGGCCCGCGTAGTACACTTGGCCTCAGGTGCCAACACAGCTGATATCTTTACTAAGGCGCTTGTGCCTAAAGGTCATCAGCGGCACTGTGAACAGCTTGGTCTTGTTCCTGTAGCTACTCACTTGTTAGGACCCCGATTGTGTACTCTCTACTATATATACCTGTCTGACTGGCCTTGTGGCCTTACCCCTAGTGTCTGGACTAGTAGTGCTGCCGCGGCTTGCTTTAGTCTTGTTTGTACTCTTGCTGACTGGTCTCAGGACCCATGCCTCAGTGGTTGGACTAGTAGTGCCACCCTAAGATGTGTGCTTCTTGCTTAGCACCACCCCTTCTCTAGCCTAGGGGGTGTGTGAACTTATACATATGCTGTATGTAGAAGTTCTAGGCTAGCCTAGGTGTGTGCTTCTAGTGAGTACAACCCCAACAGGTATATGTTCTAGGTTTGTCTCACTAGTCAATCATTTCTTGCATTCTAACACGAAATCCACTATTACACGTACCGAATTCCCCCATATACAGCACCCCGCAAAATTGAACGCCCATGGGTGGCTTGAGCGGACATGGGTGCTTTATTAAACTGGATATACATAACACCCGTCTTTTTTGCCTGCAAATATTTGAACACCCCCCCGAAACCTTTAACCTTGCTTTTGAGTAGCATAGACGAGCGCTACCCTCTTTTCCAACCACTGCTGCTCTGCCATCACCTGAGCGTGAGAGCGAGTGGGAAACTTATCAAGGAACCTACACAACGCAGTTCAAGGGGTGCGACACAGAAAATTTCGAGACCCATTTTGACTGCCCGAACTGAACTAGTGTGTCCCTTCCCTTGAATCCTCAAAACTAAATGTTCGCTAATTGACTGTTGGGTCGCGCTCGCCTTCCCGCCAAGAAAATCGTGCCATCCCTCCGTACGCGATGTCGAGGGGGGAAACAAAATACAGCAGAGTACGACAGTGCACTTTGTTTAGAAAAAACAATATCACATACGCATGTTCCACAACACCCAGGCGTTATACAAAATTAGCCTCTAATTACACCCTCCTCAAAATTTAGAGGCATTTTGGTTACCACCCTAGGGTGCTTTATACGGGGGAATACGATATCAGGGTCGGTCCTCAGTTCGGAACCGAGTAGTTCGGCACCAAATAGGTCAGCAGGAGTGGTTTGGCGCGAGAACTGAGGGCCAAGGCTGCGGACGCGAGGTGTTCGTGTGCACTCGCTGAAGCGAGCCCCAGTAAGGAATAGTGAATTCCTTGCATCCACCCTCCAAAGATGTTACACGCAACACTGGATCTCCTACCACTCATGCATTAGTGCTAAGTGCAAAAAATATTAGACTGGAAGACCAGTGTGAAGACAGCCTCACGTGTATTTTGAGTGTGAAGTGCTAGTGCACTGGAACGGCGTCTGTCTCACTACACCCAACGTAGTTGACATGTATTGTTGCCAGGCAGACAAGGTGAAAATGGGAGCTTATTCGGGGCCAGAAGGGCTTCGGTTGTCAAGACCAAGGGATCTCTTCTTTGAGGTGTCGCAAAATCGGCTTCAATCCATAAGGCCCGAAATCCCACCTGCCGATGACACATGTATAGGTAGTTTATTCATGGGTGAGTAGTACAATGGTGTTTTCATCCTCAATAATCTTCACAAAACCACCCACAAGAAATCCACATACTGAGTAGAAGATATGTCAAGTCCCACCTCAAAAAACCTTTCACGCGGTCACTTTGGGAACGTCGCTCCGTGACCTTGGGAACTGTACAGTGCTATTTCGACGCGAATTTGTTTAAAGCGAGGGTCTCAAGAAGCAAAAAACCAAACCCAAAGGTTTTGGTTTCCAGGGGTCGCGAAAATTGCGAGGTGTGGTGAGGGGTGCTGGGGGGTCGCTGTTACTGTTTCGCTCATTTCGCCAACCCGAAACCAAAACCTTTGGATTTGGTTTCGCGCTTCTTGAGATCCTCGCTTTAATGCGGTTGAGAACGGCGGAACACGAATTTGAGAAGGGGTTTGCCTGAGAAGGGGTCCTAGGAACATCCTCTCAGTCAGCTTGGGAACGGCCAACAGATAACTTGTGAGTGATCCCCTACTTGTCCCTTAAAGCGAGGGTCTCAAGAAGCGAAAACCAAATCCAAAGGTTTTGGTTTTGGGTTGACGAACTTTGCGAAACAGTTACAACGCCCAACCAGCACCCCTTACCACACCTCGCAATTTTCGAGACCCCCCGAAACCAAAACCTTTGGGTTTGGTTTCTTGCTTCTTGAGACCCTCGCTTTAAATTACATAATGTTACGTTCATGCAAGCATGCAATGCGAAGCACTGCTATAGTCACCTTGAGAACGTCGCGCTGTCACCCTACTGTGACCCCTTCACTACAGTCACCTTGTGACCCTTCACTACAGTCACCTTGTGACCCTTCACTACAGTCACCTTGTGACCCCTCACTATAGTCACCATGTGAACCCTCACTAGTCGTTGTGTGAACCCTCACTAGTCACCGTGTGCCCCCTCACTACAGTCACCTTGGGCACATCGCGGACAGTAGGGCTGAAGTGCCACAAGCCGTCCTCGGGGTGGTGAATGGGAGGCAACACCTTGTCATTGTGAAGGAAGAAGGGACGCACGGGTCAAACTTGCCTGCGCAGGTTCTGAGAAAGCCGCTCTGTCACCTTGTGTCCCCTCCCTCAATATAGTCACCTTGGGCACGTCGATGATGGTAGAGGTGGTGAAGTGCTACAATCCGTCCTCAGGGTGGTGCTTGGAAGGCGACACGTTTGAGTCGACAGAAAAGTCACTATGTTCACCTCACCTTGGGAGCATCGCTCAATGAACCTCGATGTGACCCCTCACTATAGTCACCCAGTGTGACCCCTCACCATAGTCACCCAGTGTGACCCCTCACTATAGTCACCCAGTGAGACCCCTCACTATAGTCACGTCACCTCACCTTGGGAACATCGCTGACGGTAGAGCTGAAGTGCCAGAGGCCGTCCTCGGGGTGGTGCTTGGGAGGCGACACCTTCTCGAGGAAGAAGGGGATGGGCTGCATGCACAGGTCGAACTTTCCCGCGTACGACCCTGGGACCGTTGGTATCGGCATGGTGCTGCAAGGGAGAGAGGAAGAAGGAAAGACGGGGTGTGTGTGAGTGCGGGTGGGGGGGAGGGTAAGACGTTAGTTAAGGGACGGCCAGCACGCACAAGTGGAACTTGCCTGCATACAGCCCTTGGACCGTCGCTATGGGCATCGTGCTGCAAGGGAGAGAGAAAAGAGGAAAGAGGGCGTGTTTGTGAGTGGGGTTTGGGGGAAGGTAAGAAGTTGGTTAAGGGATGCCCAGCACGCACAGGTGGAACCCGCCTGCAAGGGAGGGAGTTAGAATGGCAGGGAACGGGGAATGGGGCGGGGGATAAGAAGCTGTGAAGGGGATGGCCTGCGCGCACAGGTCCAACTTGCCTGCGTACAACCCCAGGGCCGTTGCTATGGGCATGGTGCTGATAAGCCAAGGGAGGAAACTGGGAGGAGGGGGTGGGGGGGATGACGGGAGAGAGGTGAATGGATGTGCAGCAACAAGGGGATGGCGTGCACCACCGCACATTGCAGCAACAAGGGGATGGCTTGTACCACCGCCCCTTGTTGCACTACCCAGCATGAAGCAGGACTCTCGCAGCACCAACCTGGTATAAATTTTTTCCTTGCTTCAACAGTACAGTACACCACTGACCGCAAGGTTATTCTGCATCTGAAATTTTGCAGCAGCCGCACAATGACCAATGGATCCTTGCTAAAATCTCTCACACTCATGGTGGATCCTTGCTGGGGTTCTCTCACACTCACCACCTCTTGCAGCCCCTGTTCACCACTCACCACCCCTTGCAGCCCCTGTTCACCACTCACCACCCCTTGGAGCCTCTCTCCACCAAGAAGCGGAAATCTCGCCGTGGGCTGGCCGTGAGCGCAGTCCTGCGAGAAGATGGGGCGGGAGGGGGAAGACGAGTTTGCTTTGCGCATCTAATTGTGAGACGTCCGGTTTTGAGAAGACTAGTTGTGTGTGACACATCTCTTGAGACATCTCAAAACTGGGGGCAGTCGTGCAAGAAATGGGGGAAGGGGGAAGGCGAGGGGGGAAAGGGGGAGGGGGGGGGTGGGGGAGGGAGCAAAGGGCTAGGGTTAGATGGGAGTGGCATTGCAGCCGCGGCGAAAGCCAGCAAGACAAAAGCAACCTGGTAAACTTTATTTGGCAATCCAGCAATCAAGGTATGAGCAACGCGCCACAGGGTGTAAGGCTGCTCAACTCCGCACGCTGTAAAAGAGGGCAACAGGGCGACATGGCGACAGGGCGACAGGGCGACAGGGCGACAGGGCAACAGGGCAACAGGGCAACAGGGTGCCAACGACACACAGTCCCACACTCCTGAGTCGACTCAAAAGTCACCTCGTTACGCTGCTCAAATCAGCACGCTGCAAAGAGGATGACGGGGCAGGCAATAGTGACAGTGACACACATGCCCCCCGCTTTGACGTGCCTCAAGGCACACGAGAGCCCATGCCCACCCCATCCCTGCCCTCCTCCCCATCAGCCCCCTCCCCGTTCCCCCCCCCCCCCCTCTCACACCTTTCCTCCCCCACCCCTAAATCCCTGTTCCCGTCCCCGTCCCCCTCCCGCTCCCCATTCCCCTCCCCCTCCCCCTCCCCCTTCCCGTTCCCCTCCCCCTCCCCCTCCCCGTTCCCCTCCGCCCCCCCCTCACACCTTTCCCCTAAAATTCCCATTCCTGTCCCCCTCCCCCTCCCCCTCCCCATTCCCCTCCCCTCCCCATCCCTCTCTCTCACCACGCTCTAACAGCCAATGGCTTCCTGTCTGATGTGGCATGGATGGTGAACGTGGGCCAATCAAACCGCCACCTCAGCTGAGGCCAGTCGACAGCTGGCAGCTTGGGCACGCAGCCCCAAGGGTGCTCCGGCAGCTGCTGATCGGATTCGGTCAATCCTTGTCCCTCTGCTCCCGCCCTTCCTGCCATCCTTGCTCCCTCCCCTTCTGCAGTTTTCCTTCCCTCTTGCGAAAACAGGCCCGTGCCCTCGGCTTGATCGTAGTGAGCCCGGTGAGGGGGGGAGGAAGAGGGGGTGGTGGGGCGGGTCCAGGTGAGGGAGGGGCGGGAGGAGGCGGGGAGAGAGGCACAGGAGGAGGTGGCGTGGAGGAGAGAGGAGAGGAAGGAGAGGGTGGCTTGAGTGGCCTGCAGGGGGAAGAGAGTGGTCCAGGGGGGGGGGGTGGAGAGGGGGAGGGAGGAAGATGGGGAAGGAGAGGTTGCAAAGTGCGAGAGAGAGGGAAAGCCAACAGAAACCTGTACAGGTCTCACATCCTTGAGGTTGAAGCCGCAACCAACAAAAACTCAGTCTCACAGCCATTTCCATATGGATGTTTATTATACGCTTAAGTGCAGCACCCATTGGTTGAGGTGTATCTGCAGCATGTGCTCTGAATGCTGGGTCGACCTAAAAGTCACCAAATTGCATGCTGGATTGCCTCAGCAACAGTTTTTTACCCATTGGTTGAGGTGAATCTGCATGTGCTCGGAGTTGGCCATTATCTTGAGCAGCTTCGGCTCCGGCACGTCGCTCCACCACATGTAGCTGCAGGGGAGGATGCGGGGGGGGTGGGGGGATAGGGGGGAATGGGGGGATGGAGGGGGGTGGGGGGAATGGGAGGGGATGGGGGGGAATGGGGGGGGATGGGGGGGGATGGAGAGGGGGATGGAGGGGGGTGGGGGAAAATGGGGGGGGATGGTGGGGAATGCGTGGGGATGGGGAGCAATGGGCGGGGATGGGGAGTGTTGGGGTGGGATAGGGAGGCATGGAGGGGGTTGGGGGAGAATGGGGAGGGATGGGGGGGAATGGGGGGGGATGGGGGGAGACGGGGGGGCAAGGATGGGGGGGTGAGTAGACATGAGCAAACGAGGCGAGTAAAAACTCGCCTCGCCTACTTGCCTTGGATTTGGCGAGTAACGAGGGGCGTAATTTTGCGATTTTACTCGGCGAGTATTACTCGCCTCACCTCGATGAGAGGCGAGTAATGAGGGGCGATTTTTGGAAAAATTACTCGACCGAGTATTACTCGCCTCGTCTGGAAACGAGGGGAGTATTACTCGCCTCGCCATTTGCTCATGTCTAGAGGTGAGGATGGGGGGTTGGGGAGAGGCAGGCATATAAGGGCAATAAGGGCATGCCCTTTCACCAGATGTAGCTGGGGGAGGGGGAGGATGGGATGGGGGGTGGGGGAGAGGAGGGCATAAGGCCGGGAGGGAGAATGGGGAACACGGGGAGGGATGAGGGATGGGCTCCAGCAAGTCATCCACCACATGCATAGATTGGAAGTCCAACACCCCTAGTGCAATAGGAGCAGCACTGAGTTGGCTACAGGGAGTGGTGGGGTGGGGGAAGATGACGATGGGGGTTGGGGTGGGAGAATGGGGGACGTTGGAGGAAGCAGGGAAGGGGAATGGGCGAATAGGAATGCCATTTATTGGACATGGCTGCATGGGGGCAGGGGATGGAAAAGGGGATGGGGAAGGGGATGGGGAAGGGGATGGGGAAGGGGATGGGGAAGGGGATGGGGAAGGGGATGGGGAAGGGGATGGGGAAGGGGATGGGGAAGGGGATGGGGAAGGGGATGGGGAAGGGGATGGGGAAGGGGATGGGGAAGGGGAGCATGACAGTCCGCCAGCCTGAGCTGCACGAGGAGACTTACCCACCCACCATGACACTCTTGACATTCTTTCCCCTCTTGTTGTGCATCTCTCGCATCTGATCCGATCACTGTACTTAGCTTTGTGTCCTCAGCACACTCACGTGTCATCATCAGCACACTCACGTGTCATCCAGCCCTAGCACTTCATCATTAGCCGCACTGACGAGCAGCTTGGGCATGGTGAGGCGGTCCCTGAAGTAGTATGGGTCCGTGCTTTCCTGCAACGAGGTTGATGGGAAAAGCAGCTCGTCGATAATAGAAACATGTGGGAATAGAAACAAAATATATTATACCAAATCAGAGGCTGCGTGGACAAGCTACGCTCTCTCAAATTGTATGATTATTCCAGCAGAAATATTAACAGTAGTATTAAAACAGAAGATGAATGCAGACGCCAACAGAGACATATGCGGAGCGCACACAAATAATTGAGCGCGTGTAGCTACAATGAATAAATAGCGATGCTCAAACAAACCACAATGAGCTTCATACACTGTCCTCACACACACAAACAATCACTCTCTCGCTCAACCCCTAGCTCACTTTCTTCCTCAGTGACTCACAAAAGCTTTTTGGAACTCGGGTAACAGCAGCTTGGAGGTGACGTTGAAAGTCGCATAGAACTTGAGCAGGACCGGCCACGCGCCGAGCGAGTCGTACAGATGCTGGAGGTTCCTCGCAAAGTCAAGCAGGTCAAAGCCGTACGCGATCATGCCCACCACTCTCTGGAAAAGGAAAATGGAAAAAGGATGGAGGACAAAAAGGAAAGCACACATGAGAGAATCACTTATAGTCAAGCAGGTCAAAGGCGTAGGCTATAGTGCCCAACTCTCTGGAATTTGAAAAATAAGGAAAACTCAAGGATGGATCTTTTAGACGCCTCAAGGTTTTGGCCCAAGCCAAGCAGGTTGGCGCCATGGGCTATCAGTGTATCACCTTCGGCTTCACACAACTCTCTGGAATTTGGAAAAAAAACACATGCACGCGACTCTTACTCAAGCAGGTAAAAGCTGTATGCACCACCGGCACATATATACACCACCGGCACATGCACGCGACACCAAATGCTCAAAGTTTGAGGGTGCAAGTATTTGTTCACGGAGCATGCCGCTCCCACACACGCATACACACACATGCCCACGTGCACGCGCACACACACACATGCCCACGTGCACGCGCACACACACACATGCCCACGTGCATGCGCACACACACACATGCCCACGTGCATGCACAATACACACCAGCACACACGCACGCACCCACCCACCCGACCGCCCATCTGACCCTCCCCGCCCCCCCTCAAACACACTGACCAGTGCGCAATTCATCAACGCAGATGAGCAAGCCACAACAGTGTTTGAGATGGGTGTGCTGCATGGCTATGCTGAGATGGGCGTGCTGCATGGCTATGCTGAGATGGGCGTGCTGCATGGCTATGCCGAGATGGGCGTGCTGCATGGCTATGCTGAGATGGGCGTGCTGCATGGCTATGCTGAGATGGGCGTGCTGCATGGCTATGCCGAGGCATACTGTCATGAGATGTGCATGCGGATTACAAACGTCTGATTTCAACAACAAAGCTTTAAATCACCTCAAGTAGCACCAATGTGCCACGCCATGCCATGCCATGCCATGCCATACCATGCCATGCCATTCCATGCCATGCCATTGCCATGGCATCCATCCTCACCTTGTCCAGTGCTGCCGTCAGCCATGACATGAGCCCTCTCTTGCTCACTCCAATCGTCACAAAGCCTTCCACCTGCCATGTGCCATGAGCCATGTGCCACCCATGTGCAAAAGATGATAAATCTCATTCATTTTCTCCCACCTTCAACATGACGTGTTGTGTAATGTAATGTATGAGAATAACATGCAACGTATTGTGTATGAGTGCCATCTCTATCACCCACGCCGCACGAAACGCACCACAGACAAGAACGAATGGCCGAAAAAACACCGGTTGAGTGGTCAACCATGCCACTGATCAGAGCACGCGAGAGAGGATTTCCCTGGAGGTGAGGTGAAGCGCGTCCATGCCTCTGACGATAGAAGGGGCACGGGCGCTGCTAGCAACCACTCTATGTGATCAAGCAGCCTGCCACCAAGGAGCAAGTGCTGGTTGGTTACCATGGGGGGTCACAGAGTCTGACTGACCGGCACGTGCGGGAGGATCTCCCTGGAGGCGAGCTGCAGCGCGTCCATGCCTCTGACGATGGACTTGGCCATGGGCGCCGCTAGCAACCACTCCAGCTCGCCGGGGTGCGTTGCTGCCATGGCGAAGGAAACTGCGATGGGCGGATGCACATGCATGGATGAATGAACATGCATTGATGGATGCACATATGTGCACGAGCGTGTGCACAGCACACAGACACGCACATGCACATGCACATAACACATGACATGAATGCCCGTGCATTTAAGATTGTACTAATAAATTAATGCATGACTGTAAGTACAAGTGAAAAAGCGCTCTGTTGAGCACATGCATCCTTGAGTCAACTCAAAAGTCACATGCATCCTTGGCATTCACACCAGTACCCATGCACGCAATGAGCTCATCAGGTGCACAGCGCACTAGGCCAGTTAGGCTTGTAAGGCCAGTTAGGCTTGTTAGGCCAGTTAGGCTTGTTAGGCCAGTTAGGCGGCTTGTTAGGCCAGTTAGGCTTGTTAGGCCTGTTAGGCTTGTTAGGCGTGTTAGGCTTGTTAGGCCTGTTAGGCTTGTTAGGCTTGTTAGGCTTGTCATCCACTCACACGCCATGAGCCCACTCACACGCCATGAGCCCACTCACACGCCATGAGCCCACTCACACGCCATGAGCCCACTCACACGCCATGAGCCCACTCACACGCCATGAGCCCACTCACACGCCATGAGCCCACTCACACGCCATGAGCCCACTCACACGCCATGAGCCCACTCACACGCCATGAGCCCACTCACACGCCATGAGCCCACTCACACGCCATGAGCCCACTCACACGCCATGAGCCCACTCACACGCCATGAGCCCACTCACACGTCATGAGCCCACTCACACGCCATGAGCCCACTCACACGCCATGAGCCCACTCACACGCCATGAGCCCACTCACACGCCATGAGCCCACTCACACGCCATGAGCCCACTCACACGCCATGAGCCCACTCACACGTCATGAGCCCACTCACACGCCATGAGCCCACTCACTCACACGCCATGAGCCCACTCACACGCCATGAGCCCACTCACACGCCATGAGCCCACTCACACGCCATGAGCCCACTCACACGCCATGAGCCCACTCACACGCCATGAGCCCACTCACACGCCATGAGCCCACTCACACGCCATGAGCCCACTCACACGCCATGAGCCCACTCACACGCCATGAGCCCACTCACACGCCATGAGCCCACTCACACGCCATGAGCCCACTCACACGCCATGAGCCCACTCACACGCCATGAGCCCACTCACACGTCATGAGCCCACTCACACGCCATGAGCCCACTCACACGCCATGAGCCCACTCACACGCCATGAGCTCGTCTTCTTCCAGCCGTTCGAACCTCTCCGGCCCGCTGGGCCCCACAAAGAAGGTCATCGGCTCCACTGGCTGCTGATGCAGCACCGCCCCCAGCATCCCCAGCTCCACTACCAAGCTGCCACGTGGCATGGACCACACACACGTACACAGCGTTGAAAGTGGGGACGGGTGAGTGAGGCGCGGCTTCTTTTTGCTAAGGGTGGGTGGTATTTACGTGTCAAGGTGTCAAGGTTCTAAGAGTAGTCGGTTAATGACGGGTGGTGATAGTGTCATCTCTCACAGCAGTAACGGCTCGCTCAAGGTTGGTTGGACCGAGGCAAAGTGCACAAGCAGCTCAAGGAGGGAGGCAACACAACGACTTGGGAACGCACGGGGCGAAGGCAGCACGTATGGGGCAAAGGCAGCACGTACGGGGCGAAGGCAGCACGTATGGGGCAAAGGCAGCACGTACGGGGCGAAGGCAGCACGTACGGGGCAAATGCAGCACGTACGGAGCAAATGCCGCAGTGAACATCTCGTCCTTGTCGGGCACGTGGTGGTAGTGGAACTGCGTCCACCCCGAGCCGATGATGAACAGCACCAGGCCCTTGCTGGCGCTGTGCATGTCGTCAGGCGCCTGGGGAGGGGAGAAGGAGATGCACGGCAGAAATAAAATGTGTGTAGCATGGAGCAGCAGCGTTGTGCATGGCATCAGGCGGATCGCCACAACTAATCCCCCAAGATTCTGAGTCGAATAACTGCCAGCCAATGCAATGACGGCATTAGACGACTGTCCGAGTGAGAATCATCCATATCAGCGTTACAGTCACCTATCTTACAATCACGGTCATCCAGTGCCACCAGTGGTAACGGTCCGTAACAGTCCGATTGAACCAGCGGTGTGTGGTAACCCGCAGAATGTAACCAGTCCACCACCCCTTGGGCGCCTTGTCTCTCATACGGTTGCCAGTGTCCTCCCACCTGCGCCAACCAACATCGAAAACGGTGCATCCGGTGTAAGAGCATTTCTGCCGTGACACGTCAGCAAACGCTGTTAATGAGATTTATAGAATCCTGCTCGGTCTCCGTCTTCGCTCCACGCAAACTCTCGGATTTGGATTTAGATAAGCAATTTGCTTGCCTTGGTAAACTCCTATATCAACCAAATTAGGGATATACTTTACTTAGAACCTTTTTGCGGGAGATCGATTTCACCTCTACACGGCACCCTATCCTCGTTATACGCTCACCAGAATTCCGCCGGGTCCTGATCGCCATATATGTATCTATCCAGTCGCTTTTCGCGACAATTTCTCGCTGTTTCGCATCCGCTCTGAGGGAAGGCGGACGGCGGAGACGAAGGCCCTCCGCGAAGGATCGACAGCCAGAAGGAGAAGCGCGACAGTGGCAGGGGAAACGACGGCCATAGGAGAAATGCGACGGCGGAGATCGATGCGACGACTGCGACGGCTGCGACGACGGAAGCTGCTCTCTGCGAGCCAATCAGATGGAAGCGCGTGAGCCAGCGACTAACGAGCGATCTGTGCGGGCGAACCATGGCGGACGACGACGGTTGGTCAATAGGCGTTTCCGACAATTCGACTCAGCCTCCCTGATTATGATTCCGAAAGGGAAAAACGCATTACTGACGCTTCTTGGCAGCTGGATTCCAAAAGCCTATTTCCTGGTAGTGACGAGGAGCTCTGAACTCAAAAACTGGGTTCGGGCAAACGGGCGCGAGACGCGTCAGCAACTGAGCCGACTGGCATGAGGAAACGAATGGCCGCATCTAAGTGTTACAGATGCTCCAGCGCTAGCCCTACGCTCGCTCCACCGAACCACTATCTTGGCGTCTCGTCTCACTACCATGCGCCGCGTGCTGTAAACCCATGCACAGGCCTAAACTGAGATGTTCTTTCCGCTGATGCTGCTTGTCTGACTGACTGGCTCTCCACGAGTGACGAGAGTCCTAAGTACAGGTGATATGCTCTGTAGGCGTCCACAGATATTATCCTTATAAAATACCAGAAATGTGCAAAGAATACCTACTAGTTTCCGATTGATTAGTTCTCATTACGGTCAACAATCAGTATGATAAGCGAATTTCCAACGACAGCTGTCATTGGTGCACGAGCTAATAAATTTCTGTGTCACTATCTGTTAGGAATGAATCGGAGGAATAACAGGTAGTGTAATAAAGGAACCGTGATTCAAGAGTGTCGATACAAATGAGGGCCTAGGCATTTATAGGCACGAACAGGGCTAGCCGAGAACCACGTTAATAGGTTGGGTCGGTTCGGTTGGCGAAAGCTACGGAAGCATCGAGGTTTGAGTTCGCAAAGTGGTTCGAGATCGAAGAAGTTGGCCGAGCCTGGACTTCCGAGAGTCAATGGTGAAGCGCTATAGTCGAGCCCAGTAAGGAAAATGGAATTTTATTACACCACCCCCTCTTCCGGGCCGAGACTACCCACATCTGGGACACGTTGTCGGTATAAATAGTCCCGAACAACTCTGTGATCGCCGAGCGTAGTTGCGGGAACCCAAAGGTCGTCGTCACTCGTGCCATCAATCCAACGTACGAGGAAACCAACGGCTGCGGTGTTTCGACGACCACGTATGCAGTGAGCGAGAATCTTGACCGGCTCTGTCGTTGGTTAGTGTACTGTGTTTACCGTAGGATTGATATGCTAACGGTCGAGATTAGCACTTAGGACGAACAATCGTTGCAGATTGACGTGGAACGAATCGTGGGTTTGCTAGTCAGTAGGCAGTTGCAGCTGGGCGGTGACCGGTGTCGCCATTTCGAATAATGCGGAAGGCTATGCAAAATCGTTGTCGTATTTTAATTGGGAGGGGAATCTAAAAGTTCGAATTGTCAAACATGTGTATCGCCTATGTTTGCATAGACTGTATAGGGCCACCTCTTAGAGAGTACAACACTTAAGTATATTCACCTGTACTCTCTCTCTACTCAATTATTTAGTTCTCACTTTAACATGGTATCACGCGTAGGTTAGAATCCCCCACCTACCACTTCCGCCCGTACCCTAGCTAGGCCCCCCCCCCCCTGGGGCCCCGTCGCGCCTCCTAGCCCAGTCGCGCCCCTCCTGGGCCCTGTCGCGCCCCTCCTGGGCCCCGTCGCGCCCCCTAGCCCAGTCGCGCCCCTCGTGGGCCCCGTCGCGCCCCCCTAGCCCCGTCGCGCCCCTTTTGGGCCCCGTCGCGCCCCTCCTGGGCCCCGTCACGCCTCCTAGCCCCGTCGCGCCCCTCCTGGGCCCCGTTGTGCCTCCTAGCCCCATCGCGCCTCCTAGCCCCGTAGTGCCCCTCCTGGGCCCCGTCGCGCCTCCTAGCGCCCCTCCTGGGCCCCGTCGCGCCTCCTAACCCTGTCGCGCCCCTCCTGGGCCCCGTCGTGCCCTGCCTGGCCCCGTCGCGCCCGCCTGGCCCCGTCGCGCCCTGCCTAGCCCAGCATGGCCCCGTCGCGCCTGCCTGGCCTCGCCGCGCCTGCCTGGCCCCGCCGCGCCTGCCTGGCCCCGCCGCGCCTGCCTGGCCCCACCGCGCCTGCCTGGCCCCGTCGCACCTGCCTGGCCCCTTCGCGCCTGCCTGGCCCCGCCGCGCCTGCCTGGCCCCGCCGCGCCTGCCTGGCCTCGCCGCGTCTGCCTGGCCTCGCCGCGCCTGCTTGGCTCCACCGCGCCTGCCTGGCCCCGCCGCGCCTGCCTGGCCCCGTTCTTACCCGCCCCGCGCCCGCCCTTGCGACCTCCGCGCCCGTCCGCTCGGCCCCTGCGCCCGTCCCAGCCGGCCCCGCGCCCGCCCTCGCGACCTCCGCGCCTGTCTGCTCGGCCCCTGCGCCCGTCCCAGCCGGCCCCGCGCCCGTCCCGTCGGCCTGGTGCCCGCTGCTCCTGGCCCCCGCGCCCGCCCTGCCCCGAGCTGTGTGCGGCCCGCTCGTCGTCCCTACCCCGGCCCTGCATCCTCCCTGGTACGGTTCACCATTACCTGTACCGCACTGTACCGAGTTGCACCGCACTGCACCGCACTGCACTGCATGGTACCGCCCTGCACCGCACTGCACCGCACTGTACAGTCCTGCACTGCTCCTGATGGCGGCGGAGCTTCGCTTCAACGTTGAAGGCCAGCCTCTGGAGTTCGAGGCGTGGCTCGCCGACCTCCGTCGCCACCTCACTGGCCATCGGCAGGATGGCCACCCACTTTCCGCACACCTTGACGGTACGCTCCCCTGCCCAGACCCCCCTGCTGTGCTGCCCGCTGACCCCACATGTCACAAGATCGAATGTGTAGAGGAAAGGTTGCACTATCGATCAGTACAAGGCGCTTTTATACTTCCAGAGTACATCAGGTAACCAGGTTTATCTTATCCTAAGGGAATAGACCCTTCTAGAAGATAGAATCACCCTGCGTATAGCCACGCGAGGCTATTGGCTTGAAGGGATTACGGCAGGATTACGCTAGATATAGCGCACCAATACATCCCAAGCCTGGTCGGTGATATAATTATAATAGCAGGATAAACCAAAGGTTAATGGGAAAGGAAGAATAGGAAACCAAATGAGATGCGGTAAAAAGAGAAATGATAAGGGAAGGAAATAAGAAAAGGCCAAGTGGTGTAACGGGGTCGTACTCTCACACTTCCCCCCCTCAAAGCTGGGTGGTAGAAGTAACACCCTGCTTGACAAGGTAGTCATGCAGAGGACGACGGGCGTTACCCATGTCGGACTCAGGTACCCAGCTGTCCTCAGAAGGATCATAACCCTTCCAACGGATGAGAAGCTCCACGGTGCCATTCCGACGACGGCGGTGTGCGAGCACGGACTCGACCTCGTACTCGGGTTCATTCTGGACGAGGACGGGCGGTGGCGGCGGCGGTTGGCGTCCGACGAAAATTGTGTTCGGGTCCCGATAGGGCTTCAGAAGTTGGACGTGGAAGGCGTTGTGAATCTTCCAGGTAGCTGGCAGGCGTAAGCGGAAGGTAACAGGAGTGACCTGTGCTTCAACGAGAAAAGGCCCGCAGAAGCGAGGTCGAAGTTTAGATGGGAGATGGCTGATGTCCAGGTTGCGGGTATCGAGGAGCACCTGGTCTCCCACGGAAATGGTGTGGTCGTTGCGATGGCGATCGGCCTGGCGCTTCTGTTGCTGTTGAATGTCAAGGAGGCACTTATGGGTCCGATCCCAAAGTTGATGCATGGTTGTAATGAAATCATGTGCTGGTTGGACTGTAGCTGATGCTGTCGGTTTTTGTGGTGTGAGTGGGTGGCGTCCGTAGCAGAGGAAGAACGGCGTCTGTCCAGTAGCGGCATGTGTGGCGTTGTTGTAAGCAAACTCCAGAACGGGCAGGTGCAAGTCCCATTTGGAGATCTCGTCCTTGCAGGCTGCTCGGAGGAGTTGCTCAACAATTTAGTTGAGGCGCTCGGTCTGTCCGTCTGTCTGTGGATGGTATGCGGATGACATGGCGAGTTTGGTCCCGAGAAGAGACATAAGTTCCTTCCAGAACTTGCTGGTGAACTTGGGGTCTTGGTCGGAAATGAGTGTGGTTGGGATGCCATGCTGTGAGATGATGTGACGAACGAAGAGCTGTGCTGTCTCCTCGGTGCGTGCCGTCGTGTGTGTCGGGATGAAGTGTCCCATTTTGGAGAACTTGTCAATGACGACAAGGATGGCGTCATGACTGCTGGAGGTAGGTGGTAACCCGGTGATGAAGTCCAGGCTAACCACTTGCCATGGTTGTTCTGGGACAGGAAGAGGCTGCAGTAGTCCCGCCTTTTTCTGCTTGCTGCTCTTCATCCGCTGACATGTATCACACGAGGTGACGAATTTCTGGACATCTTCTGCTAAGTGGGGCCAGTAGTAGTGCTTTGCGATACCGGTCAGCGTCTTGTTGCTACCGAAGTGTCCGGCGTAGAGGACGTCGTGGTATTCTTCGAGTAGTAACTGGCGCAAAGGAGGGTAATTGGGTACCCAGATTTTTGTGGATCCTTTCCGGTACGCGATGTCACTGTCCCACTGTAGCAGATGTCGCTTTTCTGCCAAGGGAATTTCGGGGTCGATGGCGTACCCGTGTGTGAAGAGTCCCTTGAGTAGTGGATTCATCCCTTCGACCTGAATCGCGGCAACGTGTGCAGGCCGGCTGAGAGCGTCTGCTTTGTTCTTGTGGCCGGGCTTGTACACGATGTCGTAGTGGAAGTGTGTCTCGAGGAAGTCGATCCACCGGACCTGCCGCCTGGAAAGGTTGGGTTGTGTCTTCAAGTATTTCAGGCTGCAGTGGTCGGTGTAGACGGTTGTTCTTCGTCCTTCGAGATAGCATCTCCACGCTTTGAAGGCGGTGATGATAGCAAGAGCCTCTTTGTCGTGTATCGGGTAGTTGAGTTCTGCCCCGTGCAGTTTCTTGCTGAGGTAGGCAATTGGTTGCAGTCCATTCCCCTGGTCTTGCATTAAGACTGCTCCCACTCCCTGGTCGCTGGCGTCAGCTTCGATTATGTAGTCGCGTTCGGGATCTGGCAAAATGAGTACCGGTGCGGACGTAAGTGCTTGTTTCAGCTGCTCCACGGCTTCCTGGTGCTTTGGTTCCCATTTGTAGGGCGTGTTCTTCTTCAGCAGATTCGTGAGTGGTGCTGCGATTTTCGCATATTGTGGCACGAACCTGTTGTAGTAATTAGCGAAGCCTAGGAATTGCTGCAACTCCTTCACGTTCTCGGGTGTCTTCCACGTGCGTACGGCCTCGATTTTCTTGGGGTCGACGTGAACTCCTTGAGCGCTCACCATGTGTCATAGGAACTGGACCTTTTCAAGGGCGAATTCGCTCTTGGACAGTTTGACGTAGAATCGTTCCCGTCGAAGAATTTCGAAGACGCGTCGCAGGTGTTCGACGTGCTGCTTCATGTCGCGCGAGTAGATGAGTATGTCGTCCAGGTACACCACCACGCATTCGTCCAGA